TCACTCCTGTCCAAAGGCTCAGAAAGGACCCTCAGTTCGCTAGGGTTTTGACCCTCACAGCCAGGATTTGGGACCGAACCAACATGTAGCAGTTGGTTCGGGTCCAGGAGCCTTTGGGTGTATAAAAAGATCAGCAACCAAAACCAAAAACTTGTCTCTCCCCACCCGGACATCCGTTCCCTTTTGTTGTCTGCGAACCGATCGCTGGCCTTTTTCGGGACACCGCGGACGCGGCGGACGGCCCAGAGGATCGAAGTCAAGTGGAGGATCATCATTGGACTCACATGCCCTAGGGATCCGTTTTCGTACCGAACCTCAGGTACGGTGATGTGTTCGACACTCTTATGTAGGTGCCATGAGGGTCCAGTCGTACCTAACCTGAGGGTTTTTCTCTTCTGTTATTACTTTTTCGCGGCCAAACGCTCATGGACCCTCCTAAGTAGGGGCCGGACCCTCAGGGGTCCGGACCCGAACCAAATCCCTAGGGTTTGCTTCGGGACCGGTCGGGCTGTTTTCACGGAGCGTCTGGGCACATGAATTGGGAAGGTTGGATTCTTCCTAGGAGGAGATGCCTGCCGCAAGCCCAGATGACTATACACGACATGATGTCCCTGGGAGTCAAAGACTATAAAAAGAATGGTCAGTCTTCAGGTGACCCGAGTCAAGGAATGTCCTCTTCGATCGGTCCAAATATCGTCGAACTGGACTTCTTCCAGGGATGTGTGGTGTCTCAGCTTCTGTCATCGGTGGAAAACAGGATCAGTCCAGTGGATCTGGACTCGTCTCACGAGATCGACGTCACCGTGAACCGCGGCATGGGGGGGGCGGATGGGATGGGAGGGATCTTCGTGGATGGTCCCGCCAATCCTGACGAACACCTACCGAATTGGACTCTTCCGGCAAGCCAACTAGCAGCGGGGAAGTGGTAGGAGCCTGGGAACCAATGAATGAGGTTGATCCAAAAGATGCCAAAGTCCTACCTCTTCCCTGCTACCTCTTCCCTGCTAATCGTCCCGTCTGATCACTGGGGGGAGATGCCTTAGTGGAGATGCCCAGGACGGATGATCCTGGTATTTGGGACTCAAAGAGGGCCAACATCGCCACGTCCAAAGCCTCCAGCGCCGATGTTTGTCGGTAGTGTACCATCACCACCGATGCATGCGACAGGGGTCGTCATGCAGCCAGGAACTCAAGAGTGCCAGAGTTGCATGGGCAATTTTAAAATCATCAGTGACAACGGCGACTTGGGGGAATCAGCCAGACTGTTCCTGGAACAGCACAAACACAACCAAACAAATGCGAATGAATATGCAATGTACACCAGACAAGAATTTTGAGCAGTACAGGCTCTCACTCCATCTAATTGGCTCTCATTCGTCAATATCAACACAAGAACTATACTACCCAGACCATCCATGAGACTGGAATATGTAAAAGTAATATATCACCTGCAGTAATCCTACAGTACTACATTGACCCCAGGTCAACCACCCCAATGCAGGTAAATAGGCTACTCCCATGAATGGTCTCGGATATAGTTGAAAAAGAATTGGTCAAAGACCGCTACCCCCATAAAGCCGTTTCGGAAGACACTGAATGCCCAAGAGGTCTATAAGAGCCTTGGGTTGCTTCGCCATGTTTTCGCGGCAAGAACGTTGACCAGGAGCTTTCTACCCCTGCTGTCAACGTCATGAAGTTTGTTGAGCCACTTCACCATATTCGATCATATCAAATGATACAAGTATCTCATATCTTCCTCGGATCTGAGTTGTGGCTTGACTCCAACTTCGATCAGAGAACACTGTAGCTCTCGAAGACATGCCATTCCCATTAGAGCCATCTCTGCCCTCTGTAGCATTGACTAGCCGAAACAGGTGGGAGGTGAGCTCAAAATAACAGACTTTCAACTTCGATATGTCTTGACAATTCTTGACATGTCTTGACAATTTGCTGACACCTGAGATTGGCAAACAGTCCGACACCGTTGTGCCCAACACATGTCCTGAATTCGCTCGAAAAAACATGAAAAAACAGTTCAGCCTCCTGCACACCATCTGTTTCGTACGAAGGCGATCATGGTCGTCTTCTGGACGTCCGGCAGCGTCAGCAGAATTGCGGATCTGCCAGAGCAATCTGGAACCATCTCGACCGGTTTCGTGCAGGTTATCTTTAGAAACTCCCAACAACCCGATTCGGCGAAACAGGTCGAGTGAAACTGGTGATGCAACATCAACGAAACGGTACAACTGCAAACACTTCCCTGAATCATACTGACATGTTTTTCAGAAAGCATCAGAAAGCTAATATTAAGGACGACCAAATAGGATCGATACCTTTCACAACCAGCAGAAATACCAACAGCAAAAGCCGTTCCGGAAGACACTGAATGCCCAAGAGGTCTTTTTCAGAGCCTTGGGTTGCTTCGCCATGTTTTCACGGCGAGAACGTTGACCAGGAGCTTTCTACCCCTGCTGTCAACGTCATGAAGGGCGTTGATTCCCTTCATATATCTCATAAGAACCCCTACAGTGTCCATACAGGTCTGACCCAGTAAAACCTGATCCTTTAAATCAATTGAGGAGTATGTTTGTCCACTCCAGTCAACTGAGGTCAGTTCCTGATCTGTAGGGTCACCATTGTTCCCCTAAAAGATCAGTGCCCTGGCTTTTTGATAGGTCAACACCGGCATCAAGCGCTGAAAACCTGAAGTTCTTGAAGGCATCAAACACCTCTCCAGCCATCAAACACCTCTCCTCCATCGGTCGGTGATGCAAAAGCCACGGCACAGCGTCATTTCACGGCCAGAAACTGGGTGTCGGGAGGACACCAGAACTTCAAAACAACACTCAACAGGTCTCCTCTGATGGCTATTGGAGACTTGACAGTGGCTGATGACCCGGGCAACTCGTACATGACCAGTGCTGGACTAAATTTGGTGCGTGTCCTTCAACTTTGTAAGGACTTTCGATACATCTCAGTGTCTTTATTGAAGAGTTGGGGTTGCATGGGCTTGAACACAGATTTGACATCCTTTGCCGCACTTGGCGCTCTTTTTTTACTTGACATTGACACCTTTAAGAACTGAGCCTCGAGTGGTTGCTTCGGTCTTTCTGTTCGTCGTTACAACTCATTAGCTGGACATAGCTGGACAGCAGTATTTGATATGCACTTATCGTCACAAGAAAAGTGGGGAATATGATGCTATAGTTGGTCACTTGTTCCAAGGAAAGCACAATGTGGTGGACACCATATGCACTTGCTTCAAGGCCCCTGCTTCCAATCTCCCGTAGATGGACAAACATGGACAAGCAATGTGCAAACAAATCTTGAATCTCATTATTGAGTAACAATCAAGCAGTTGCGTCTTCGGATTCGGCCCTGTTCGGCCACTGTCAAACTCAGTTCAAACGTCTTCCGTTCGGTCCCGTTGTGTTCTGAACAGCCCTGTCCGCACATCCAGTTCAGCCTCCTGTACACCATTCTGTCTCACACAGAATGGAGGCGTTTTCATCCTGCTCACCCGCAGGTGCCGCGCCGAAACGGAGGTGAAACAGGTGCCGCTTCAGGTGCTCGTCCGATTGGCTGAGTTGTCAGGGCGAAGAAAACTGATGGCCTCCACCCTAGTAGCGATGGCCTCCAACCTATAGAGTATCACAGTTAGACCATACTAGGAAGCGTTGTCGACACTTCCACACCCTAGGTGTTGTGTAGTGCAACCCGGGATGCGCTGCAATAAAATGCATGCAGGCTTCTTTAGAGTGCACGATCAACCACTTGGATGAAGACATCCACATGCAACAAGTCACTATAAGTGACTATATAATACATCATAATACATCCAATGGACTGAAAGGACTTAAACAAGGGATCTTGATGAATACCCATCCCCCTTTAGTAAGTAAGAGCTTCTTCACCGTCCGGACCATCCGATCTGACTGGACCAAAGCTCTGGACCCAAACTTCCCCCCTTTAGGGAGCGAAGCGCGTGTTGACCGCGAAGAGACGCGGGTCACTCCCCATCGCGGGCGACGGAAAACAGCTCGGTAGGCTACTAGCGATGGGCTCCAGCCTATTGTATAGCAATGGCCTCCAACCCACTATAGCAATGGGCTTCAGCCTCCTATAGCGATGGCCTCCAGCCTACTAATAGCGATAGGCTCCAACCTACTAATAGTGATGGCCCACAACGAAGAGGGAAGGATCCAACTCAGCTGGCCATGGACGGACGGACCAGCACCCTCGAAAGAGGCAGCCCGTCGGAGTCTCCATCTTTTGGAGTGCCAGGCAAATATGCAGCGAAGGCAGGAGTGTTGTGAGTGTGTGGGGAGCGGAGTCCTTGTCAACGTGGTTTGTTCGGGGTTGTCAACAAACCTTCTGAACCACAAAATGCACATTTATTATAGGCATCCTAGGTCCTAGAGTAGATTAGATAGAATTTGGGGAAATCCCAAGAACCCAAACGAAACAGGTTCATAGTTCTCACATACTTCAGGAAGAATTGCTTTTCTTGCCAGGTCTTACAACTGCATGACATCTATGTGGATTAGCCACGGTCGAAATCGGAAGTCCATTTCGCGTGGCCCGTGTGGGAATTTTGGAGGGAGGAAATTCGAGTGTGTGAGGCTGAGATAAGTGTCTGGCAGAACTTGCTTGTCTCAGTCCTCATGATGTATTCATGTGTATTCTATCTATGCCAGGATGGTTGCCACCTGAATCTGAAAGAAGTTATACCAGTTTTATGTTTGCCCCGTGCGACTTCAGGGCTTTCACCTTCAGGAATGTATACCAAATCTCTTGTGAACCGGTGCTTTTTTCGTCTTTTTGAGTTTACCAAAGAGGAGGCCCCGATACGTTGCATGACCATGACCTTTTCTGAGCCTTCTCTGAGCCGGTCATTCTTGGAGGACGACAAACCGTACGCGGCGTCCTGCAGACTTCGGGTCCCAAAAAAATGAACAGGAGATGTCTGTGATACTCTGTCTACCAGTACCTTCCTGTCGGGGTCACCGATGAGGGCCCCCCACACGACTTAGTCACTTCTCCAGGTCGACAATCCTTGGAAGGTCCAGACTGGTTGTCCTCAATGTGGAACAAAGGACAACAAGTCGCTTGCGATGCAAGCAGAGGATACCCCTTGTGACAAACTGCTCCACATGGATCTCTTTTCGGAATAAGCGAAACAACTCCTGAAACGTGCCCTGCAATCAATCACTGCCACAGCCTGGAACTCTCTCTCGGCCAAATTGTGCAAGTGGCAAAAAGCAGCTGCAGACCCGCAGGAGTTGGTCGAGCGAAACTCCTTCGAAGACTGCATGCCGAAGAGTCTTTTTCGCGGGTGGGAAACGAACTCCATGATGGACCCGGCGTTCCAACTTTGGTAGAGCGGTAGAGCTACAACAAAATACATTGAGATAGAGAAACTATGAGAAACTCTTGCACAGTTTCTGGCATTACAGACTTAATACACATGGCATTTATGATGCCATTGACCTCATGAGTGCTGCGGACAATTGGAACCCGAGGTGAAATGCTACAGTATTTACTGCGCACGTGCAAAGGTTTCCATACCAGCCATTTTGTCAGATACTTTGGAGGGCCCAGGTGATACCCTAGGGCCCTAGGGATCTTAAGTAATTACCTTCTCAGGTACGGTGATTGGAGACACTCTTATGACTCTTATGTAGGTTTTGAGGGTCCAGTCGTACCTTCTGAGAAGGTACGACTGGATCCCTAGGGATATTGGAATTAATATGACTTCATGACTTCCCCTCTGCCAACGTCAGAGACCCAACGAGAGACCGATCGACTGCTCCGTGAAAACAGCAACCCGTGGGTCACCGGTCACCCTTTTCGCCGTTTTCTGTCCCAGACGCTCCGTGCAAACAGCCCGACTGGTCCCTCAAAACCAACCAAGAGAGGTTGAGAGGTCGCTTCACGTTGGGACCCTGCTCTGTGCTACATATGGGATGGGCGACCGGCTGTTCAACCTCTTTAGGTAGGGATTGCTTCGACCACCAGACCCCTCCAGAGGGGTTTGGGACATGTGAGGAAGTGACTAGCGGAGCAATGCTGACGTGTTCGATGCTCCGCTAGGCGCCCCATGATGTGATGCAGGTGATGATGCCTGTGATGCCTGTGATGCCGTGAACTGACGCACAGCTGAAATGGACAACGAGGAAAGCAGGGATCCACTTCTCCTGCCTGCTTGACCAACTGAGAGTACAGGAACTTCTGTCAGGTGCTGGGCTCCCCAATCCTTCAAGAGTGTGGCTTTCCCTGCCGGTGATCCTCGAACCAAAAAAACTCCAGGTCCATGAAGCGCTGGCGCTCGCTTCACCCGGCGATGGAAGGAAGCACACTTGTTTGGCCGAAGGAATAGGCCGATTCGGAATTGGCAGTCCATGCCCTGTGAAGGAGTGAAGGAGTATTGAAATTCCATGGTTTCGCATCAGGCCTGTTCGGGAAGGCAGACTGGGGGTCGCCTCTGACCCGTTCGCTGAACTCGTTCGAAGGTCAAAGAGAGTGAAAGGTTGGGTAGTTCGGGATTCAACGCATTAAATCCATAGTTCGATCCTAGGCCCTAGGCTTTGGAGTGCCTAAGACCACTGCTAAGCGGTGAGCGAAGCGGATTCATGACCTGATGGCTCCAGGCGCCAAGCCCTTCGGCTCTTTTGGTGCGATTTCTTCATCCCTTTCGCTTTCCGTAAGACCTCTTACAGTAACCAGCACCAGCACAACGAAACGCCGATCCAAAGCCACACCATTGAGAAATAAGAACCCCTATAGCTTAGCAGAATGGATACTATTAGTAGCAAGAAGCTATTGGGTTGGAGGCCATTGCTACTAGGGTGGAAGCCATCGCTACTAGTAACAAGAAGCTACTACAAGTAGTAGGTCCGCAAAACTGAGGAATAAAGATCTCTTTCAGCAGTTCCATGGAGGTTGAGTGCGGACTCCATTTGTCGGTTGAGTGCGGGGTGCACCTGTCACATCCACTGGATGGATGGGACGAGACTAAACACCACCTCCAACTCCACTCCCTGGTTTCTATGAGTAATGGACAAAATCTATGGTTGTATAGGATGTTGTAGGAACCTATTGGGGATACTCATGGGAGATAGGAGTCTTCTATAGTCCTCAATCTTTCTTCTATTCATCATGGAGGACTGAACTTTCCACCCTCTTGTTTGGTGGAGAAAAGCATCCCAGTGGAGACGGTTCTTCAGGATGTTGGAAGCTTATCCACTGATTGAATCTGAGGGGTTAGGGGTTCCAGAAAGACGGCGCTTCAGGACGGCCGTGTGACTTGGGAGTAACACTTGTCCGAGGCTCCGTTTAGAATAAATGGTTTGAAACAAACATCAAATCGACCGTTGTCTCGCTCCCTATCTGTGAACATATCAGACATGAATATATGAAGAAAAAAACCTGCTCAGCCTAGCTCATCCAGTCGACTGCAATGCGGACCAGACCTGATGCGGAGCAGCCCACCCTCACTCCAAGCTGAACTTCCCTGCATTCTCGTACAACTGACGCATGCGAAGACGCAAGCCCGGGCAGCTCACATAGCTGTAGGCTGTCTTCCCCTTTCCGTCCTTCTTCATTGGGTCCTCACTTTGCTTGAGGCTGAACTCAAGATGATCCAAAACTGACTAAGCAGGAGATTTTGGGCAAACTAGAGATTCAACAAACTTTTATGTTGGATTTGAGTGCGGAAACCAATTCCATCCAAACCCCACATAAATAAAGGGTTGTCCACTGACTGGAAAAACTCTTGATTGGCAGGGTTGGTGTATCCCCAATGGTACAACATGTCTTGCTATTGATCATTCTGAAAGGGCTCTGAATCGATCATCCCATCAGAAAACGCTGGGTTTGACCACCTCTTCGCCGCTCTCAACGGAGCCTCCCAGTTGTTTCACTCACGAGTGTTTTTGTTTCCCATAATCCTCTCAGGTTGAGATGAACGGAGGCATCTGCTTTCTTAGATCTCCTCTTCTTACACGACACATACCCACCCTTGCCCATGCTGGTCTACGCTCGAAAAAATACGTGTAGTTGTTCTTTGACCATTTCTGACCCCAGCTCGGGTCTCCACTGGAGTCCAAAGCACGACAACGAGCGAAACATGCGGTCAAACATGATCCAGGAGTCACAAAGGAATGGTATTTAGTCCCATCCAGTGGGGGCATGTTCGGTAGGCACACCTAACCTCCATGGATAGCACCCCTTTGGAACTGCTTGATAATGTATGATGTCGGCTAGGATCTGCTCCATAGGCCACAAGCAGCAAAATGACCTGCATATTCCTCAGATCAGCTGGCGAGAGTAGTGTCAACATGTTTCAACCCTGGCCATAATTCATGAGTAAAGGATGAACACTAATATTTATAATAGCTACTGTATAAGGCTATGATAAGCTATGTTTATGTAAGCGTCAACCAGGGAAGCATGCTCATCGCATGCTCAGCGCTGACGTCATTTCGTTGGTTCACCCTACCACCCCGAGATCTCGGCCAGGCCGCAGCCCGAAACGGCCGTCCTGTCTGGGACTGGCATATACTGACCCCAGCTTAACCACCCCAATTGATACATGCCAGTCCCAAACAGGTCGTGGGTTTTCGGGGACATCGGTTCCCCTTCGCATCGATTCGCGGAAGGTCCGGGTCGCGACGGTTCGCTGGCGACGACATGGAGTCCCCCAGCAGCTGGGTTGCTGGCGACCGGGTCGCTCCGCACGGGCTGGCAGTTTCAAATCCATGTTAACACCCAGTCATACTCCCAGACGCTCCATGTATGCCATATATGCCTACATTGGGGATCATTGGGGTGGTTTGAGGGGTCAATGTAGCCATATATGGCAGTCCCATGGAGTGTCGAGGGTACTATGACTACGACTGATATTCCAAGAGAACCCATTTGACCTGGACAGGAGAAGGCCAGCCTGTGAGTCAAAACCTCTCCCAAACCATGGTAGGTTCACACCCTTATAGAAGGAACCTTTTCAATTTCGGTCAACCGGTTGGTACCCAAGTGCGATGTCACAGCCAAGACTTGGAATAGTTGCCCCTCCAAAACAGGGCTCACTCGGATACATTGACATGAAAATACACAAGACCCAAACGCCGCTGCCCTGACACCCGTCACCCTCCCCAACCCCTCCTCCCCCCGATGAAACGAAAAAAAACACGAAAAGCGGCCGCGCGGCCGCGCGATGCGCCGAGGCACCCGTCCAGGGCAGCTTTGTGCAACGGTCGCTGCCACCGGAGCCTTCGCCCCCAACACGCCGAAGTCGGAACCGCCGCATTCCTCGTTCCCGCGGCATTCCTCGGGTGAGGAAGGAGGAAGGAGCCGGTTGGAACGGGCGGAAGGTGGAAGGCTTCGCGCCGGGAATGGGAGGCCTCTAGAGCAGAGTCTATAAGACCTCATGGCACAAGTTGGCAATGAGAAAACATGTGATGTCATTGATCTGCACTATTAATTAATATATTGTTGGGACTATTGTTGGGTCCACTCGTCGTCCTTCACCTTCGCGTCCATGAAACTCCGACTGAAACTCCAACGTTCAAAAATGCCCCAAAACAAGACCCGCTCGCTCGCTCGCTCAGCCGGGTCGCACGTCGTGCGGGTCGAAGCCATTGTCTTCCAAAAAATCCATCAAGGTTTGCCTCTCGAGGTCCCACTGGCCGCGAGATGGGAAGAGGTCGGTCGGTCGACCGGGCAGCGGTCGCCAGGCGGTGGGAAGAGGTGGCAGCGTTTTCTGGTCGAAAACACCGATGGATTGGAGGCGAAGACCGATCCACACCGATTCAACAGCGATTCGGATTCATCGCCGCAGGATGGAGCAAGAAGGAAAGGGAAAAAACAAACAAATTGGACCAGGGACACTTGGACTTGCTTAAGACACCGGAAAAGAAGTACACAATATTATCCATGAAGAGGATTCACCCATAGGAATCCTATCCAGGAACCATGAAAAAATCCTATAACAAGCAAAAGCAGGAAAAGCAACCGCCACCCCAAAAAAGAACGTCCCATCCCATCCCGCCTCTGCTTCGCTTCCAGAGCCTCTCGCTTTGCTGCTTGCCTCTCATGGAACCTGAGATTCTGAAGATGCCGATTCTGATAGCAGCCTATCTCAGGCTGTTCTCAAATTTGTGGATGTGTTTTCCCTCAACTCCAGTGTCAACAGCCATCAGATTCATCAGTTTGTCTTTAGATCTGCAACACTTCCGGATAATGACTTGGGTAGCCATCGACCCTCACTCAACCTCTGAAATGAACCATAACCTCTCCACATACACCGAAAGCAGAAGTTGAGCTCCTGCCATTGTTTCATGCTCTCGTTTGGTTCGTTGCTGAAAACATGGCGGCCCTCATTCCCATTCTCCATCGTTTTGGCCGCGGAACTGCAAGCAGCGCAGCTTCTCTGCACTCAGGGCCATGGGCAAATCGACGGCGTTGCTGGCCCCACCGGGTTCGGTCGAGGCACCGGCAATTCACAGGAAACGTCCGCGGAGGAAACGTCCGCGGTGTAAAAACGCGATCAAAATCGATGGCCCAAAAGGGCGACGGAGAGGCTTCGTGGCTGCGGAGATGTCGTGTTTTGATCAGAATGGATGGATTGGCTGACAATCATGTACGGCATGCGTTCCGGTGAAGCGTTGGAGGGTTTGGGGGCTAGGCTAGGTCTGAACAAAAAAATCATCCTCTTTCTGGGCCAAAACGAAGCAACCCTTCCTTCACAATGCACCCTTCTGATCCTGCGAGCGACTCTTGGGCTTTGGCACATGTTCGATGAGCATTAAACAGTCGTATCTACGTGCCGCGCCCAGAAGCCAAGAGGCTGCATCGGAGAGCTGCAATCGAGGATGAAAGGCCAGGTGCAAGTGCACCTCATCCGTGGAGAGTTCGAAGACACCCAGGCACTCGGGAAAGGACCGGTTGACCCCTCAAAATGAATGGTTTTCGGTCAAGCGTTTTCGGTGAAGCGTTTTAGTGCCATGGCACCCAGCACCATGGGAAGGCAGGCACCGACAGAATGGACGCCCCAGCTCCCACCCATGAGAGTGAAGCTACTATAGAGTGCTTCGTTGGGCCTCCGGCTTTGGAGGCGTATTGGGGGCAAGATCCACTCTGAGACCCTCTCTGATCCAGCTGAACACCAGGCTCCGCCAGGTGTTCGATCGACCCATTAGGAGCTTCATGATCTCGTTCGAACGGACGGGAGGAGGGGGATCAAGGCTTAGGACGAAGCAGGGCAGCAAGCAGGGCAGCAAACAACACACAGGACTTTGCCAGTGACCCAACTTCAGAATTGGTGAGTGACCTTTTCAAGACCCATGTGACCGAGCAGTGACCTCAGCCACCATCTCATGTGACCGGTCATTGGGAAGAGATGGACTGGAGCGATTCATGTAGAGAATCTCTCGAGGCCCTTCTTATGTGAGTCCACCCCCCCCAAAACAATATCAAGTAGACTGTCGATGAATAACCCACCCGATCCAGAATGCTTTCACCATGTTTTACATCTTCATATCATGCCCTAGGGATCCAGTCGTACCTCCTCAAAAAGTACTTGGACCCTCCTGGCACCCACCCCAGTCCCACCTTCTCAGAAAATACCTTGGATCCTTAGGGATGGGTGCTTTCCTTAAATCAACCTAGTCAACATGGGCTCGTGCCACCATGGGGTCCTTGCACCTCGGAGTCGGGGGCACATCGAACCCATGTGTTGTTCGGCCGTCCAACCGGGCGACTGGGTTGAATGGAGTTCCTCCATGGAGCCACTCAAGGACTCACTCCGTGCGGTTGAGGCGGACATGGCACGTTCTCGTCTGGTCTTTCAGTGGTTGATCCTGTTGCGTCCTCTTAGACGTAGGCCCGAAGATCATTGAAGTCTTCCAAAGGTTACCATCAGGGCTTCACATCTGCCCTACGTCCTCAAACAAAAACCGTTGACCAAAAGGGTTGAGTCAATCCCGTTCAACATGTTGTGGAAGGAGTGTGAACTCCGAGCTCTTCCTCTTGAGATCAACGAGTCTCATGCCAAGCCCAAACCCTTTCGCGTCTTTTGCCTCACGTTTGTTCTGCCCCGAGACGTGGCAACCCATCAAACATTCCCCACATCTTCCGCTTGCATCTCCCGCTCCATCTTGGGACTTCTGATGGTCTACTGTATCGAAGAAAAACGACCCTCAGACCGCCAAACCGTCCATCCGGGCGCTTGACACCGATGGACACCGATACGCTTCGATTGCTCGGCCCCCCCGCCATGCTGCGGCCACTCTTCGCAGTTCTTCCACCACCGCTTGGGCGCGCGTTGGGCGCGCGCCAGACGTGCGGCGCTGGATCGCGTGGGGAGCGGAGTGGAGGGATCGGGTTTTGCGAAAAAGGTGGTTAGATAGTTACTGACATATGATCCGAAGATCTTGATTCTCATGCATACTTGCACTCAGATTCATCCAACAGGGTTGCGCTTCTTGCGAAAAAGGACGTTTGAGAGTCATTGGCTCTTTGACAACATGAACCCTCAACATCTACTGGGGACATCTAGTGCCAGTCTTAGTCCATATGCACCTGGAAATAGGAAGTCTTGATCGATCTTCACACAGGTCTTGCTGACAGACCAATCCACCGAGGCTGCTTCAGATTTGGTGTTCTGCTTTTGCGTCAACGTTTCACATCCATCCAAAATGACCGTTCAAACTTTGATAGACTTTAATTCAAACTGAATTTAAGATGTTTTTCATGGTTTTTCATCAAATTGATTCGTAGATATTTGCAGACGTTGCACATCTGATGTTACATTCAAACACCTTTCAAGTTGATTTGACTTTGCTTCTCTCGTCCTCACACCGAATCGAACCGTGCCCAAGCGTGACTGCCACGCAGCGACCAAACACACGCGATGCAACGCACGTGCGACGCGGGTCACGCACGGTGAGTGAAGGGCGATGGTTTTCTTGGGGGGGGAGGAGGTTGAAGTTCTCTTGGTTGTCGGCAACAGCTTTTTGAATGATATACTTTGGGTACTACTTCGGGTCGCCAAATAGATAGGATTGCACGGTGTCCAAGACATTTTCAGTGGGGATCTACTTTTCGAACTCTTTGGGGATATCCCATGCTCCCAGGGCCCTGTGGATGATCGTAAAGGGCTTGTTCAACAATAGTGATAATCGTGCACCAACTGTACGACTTCAACAGGCATACCAGCTGAACCATTTCGACACATCCGTAGAACCATCGTGTCAAGACCAGTTCCCAAACACTCCATGGGACTGCCATAGGACTGCCGATCAATTGACCCCCTTTCAACCACCCCAACACCAACTGATCGGCAGTCCGGACTGGCAGTCCCATGGGTCGTGTCAAGACCAGTCGATCAAGAAAAAACTGTACCGTACCCGAACAAACCATGAACGTGTCCTGTCTGGAGGTCTGAAGTACGGCGGGCTTCCAGATGAAACCGGGCGGAACGTTTCCCCCCCAAGAAGTTCGGTGCCCGGTGCTGACATGTGGTTCTATGTTCATTCCTTCTGCCCACAATTAGGTCAGGGACGGAGCATTTGACTGGAGATTCATGAACAAAAACACAGGAACCCAATGAGATGCAAAGAGGACCAGGACACCAGCAGACCTGGGTCTGGAGGCTGGACCGTTGACCGGATCTGGGCTGTTCACCAAAACGGGAAAGACCTCCGCTCTCAAGACGGGAGGGCCAGTGCCAAGGTATGTGAGGTAGATGTACTGGTGATCTCCAAGCATGTCGCAACCCCATGCTGCTGACACTGAACCAGCGAGGGATGACACCATTATTCCCCAAAATCAATATCATCTGCAACTCCAAGCAACACATTATAGCTGCAAAACATTAGTGAACGAGTTGAATTTGCAGGCCTTCAAATTGGTACCTGCAAGCTGCAAAAAGTTCAAAACATTCCCTGAAACAAACATGACACGTGTTTCAACAGGTAGTGTATACATCGTTCAACTGAACTCTACTTCTTGGACTTTCTCGGGAACTCCTAAAAAAGAGTGAAACACCAACTAAATCTATTTATACCATCCATCCAACCCATCCGTTGCTCCACAAAACGCGCCAACCACGCACCAAACACCCACTTCCCTGGCGGTTCAGGTTGGCGCCCTTTTTGCGGTTCCACCTCCCCCGCGCTGCGGGTCTCGACGCGGCGGCACATGGAGCCACCACATATGGTCCACACTCAGGTGGAGCCTGGGAAGCTGCGAACGCCGCACGCGCACGGAAGACAACGCCGACCCCAAACGGACGGGCAAAGCCGTAGACCGACCTACGGCTTTCCTCAAGGCTTTCTGACAGGAAAGACTGGAAGACTGGAAGAAGGACATACCAGCGTTCCCAAAAGCTGAAGACTTGGTGGTTGGTACCGACAATGGGACAATGGGACATGACCCGAACGAAAAGCAAATATCTGCATACTCCGAGCTATATAATGTGAAAACCGGGTCGACTCCGTGTACTCTCTTCGCCCTTTGGTCGACTCCAACCACCCGCAGAAAGGTCGCATGGAGTCCCCACCCACCCGAAAGAAACATCAGCAAGAACGGAATGCGCCCAGCATTCCGAAACCCGTTTGGCCTCCGTTTTCGTACCTTTGTTTCCGTTTCGGTGGGACTGGAGGCCCCGGGTGCTACTGGAGGGTCCAGTCAGACCGAAGCGGTTTGGAGGTACGACTGGAGGTGTAGGACAAAAACATGGCGAACTTGCAGCCGAACCCTTTTCGGCCCTCATCCAGCTGGGGTTTTCGGTTTTCTTCCTCCTTCCAGTCACTGAACACCGAGCTGCTCGAGCTTCTTCTCGCTCACGAACTCGTTCACAGCCGCCACGACGCCTGCGTCGTAGCCGCTGTAGTCGTGGCCCGCCAGGATGCCATGGGGGCGCACGAGGGGCCACCACGACCGCAAGTCCAGGTAGACGTCCTCAAGCCGGACGCTGGGCGCTGTTGGTATGGACCGGCATGTGGGATTTGTCACTGTGGGATAGATAGATATCCCAGACACGACCTGTCTGGGACTGCCATTAGGACTGCCGCGCCATTGAACCCCCGTGGGCACCACCCCATCGGCAATCCGGACTGGCAGTCGCATGGAGCTCGCGTCTGGGGATATACCCTAAAGGCTCAGTGGCAGGACCCGACCCGTTCGCAGTCAGGGCTTCGACCCTCACAATGCAGTGAGCCTCTAGGACTGTAAACATACTGACTGATAAAAGACTGTATACCAGATCAACATATAGATCATACATATATGTTATCATGTGTTTGTCATTACTTGTGGTGAGAATGATAAATTGTTGCTTGATGTACGAGTTGACTGGTACCACTTCTTGCAACCCCGATTTAAAAAAGAAAAGCACAAAAACAACTAAACCGAAGGCCGAAGGACTGAGACCCATCGATTTGAACCTTAAGCAAGATCGAACTTCTGCCTGACATTGTCAGGCAGAAGCGCCCAGTCAGTTGCGTCTCATGGTTCGGTAATACCTCTTGGTTCACCACGTTTTTTTTATCGTTTTTCCAGGGACCAGTCACTGAACAGCCCAAATCCACGCTGTTTGCGTGCCACGCTCCCTGCACCCTCCCTGTGCGCCCCAAAACGCTCGTCGCCCGCGTGCCTGGTAACTATGGGAGCCATCTACAAAGACGAGATCCGCCCTTCTGCCAGAGCGTGCGAAGCGCTCGGCAGCCTGGACGGAGCTCATCTGCCAGAAGTTGCTGCGATTCTGGAAGGTCCTGGCAGTTGTTCGGAACGGATCCAGGGGTCCGGAGGGAGGCTTTTGGTGGGTTGGGCGTGGGGAAATGGCCTGCATCCAGCTCGCTCGATGTGGTGCACAGTGGAAAAAAGAAAGAGAGATTGAGATCTCCATATGGGGTTTTGGGATTCCACCCCACTGAGAAAGAGGTTCGGTGTAGGATTCGGTTCCCAATTGGTTTTCATGTGGGTATGTAGCTCAAACAGGGAGACCTCCCAGGCGTCCCCCCCGGAAGAAGGGAAATAGACTACAACCCATTGGGGCAGGGCCGGGCAGGGGGTCTCCCTATTAAAATACACACTCATGTGCTATTACCAGTAATGGGAAACTCTAGAACCTTTGGGAATGGACATAGCCACCAAATTGTGTTGCAGATGATCCCAACAAAAAACGACAGCGTTCCTTTGCATCATAGACTCGCCACACAAAAAAGGACATAATGAGAAAAAACATGGAGAAACACATTAAAAAACAGAAAACACTTATTTCGGGAGCTCCATCCAACTCCCTCCGCTTACTGCACAGCACAGTTCGTTCACGGCCCAGGTCCTTCTCAACTCGTTGGCCAAAGGCTTCGCTTGGATGTCCTGAGCGCCGAGCACCACGCAGACCCCCGGGCGGACCGACAGGTCGTCGTGGTGGGCGAAGCCGAGATGTCAGTAAGAGACCTGGAGTCGACCTGGAACTTGCACCTCTGTAAATGAGTGATCTACCATGATCTACCTGTTGTTGGTTCGGGTCATGTCCCATTGTCCCATTGTCGGTGCGAACGAAGTCAGGTACGTTCGGGACACGGATTGTTTGTTTGAAGTCTTTCCGGTGTTCCGAGTGTTTTCAAACAAACAATCACTTGACACCCTAAACCAAAGATCCCTCAATCACTTGACATGCCAGCAGTCACAAAGGGGTGGTGCTTGGTCCCTAAGTGAATGGATAATGGGCACTCCGAACCTCCATGGATCGCACCCCGTCTTGTGACTGCTGGTGGATTGTTTGTTTTCCGGTGTTCTAAGTAGTCTTTCGGAAGTGAACTCAGTCTTCGATCCGTCTTCGATGGGATCGACATCCATGATCTAGCGGTCTAGGCACCAGGACCCATCGAGCGGTCGACACAGCAATCATAGGTGTTATAATTGAAAGCAATAAATGTCACTCCCAGTCACTCCCTTTGTCCGTGACTAAGATTATTGTAAGATCTGTTTGAAGAATTACACTTTTATATTGGATACCTCTCAAGACAACAGCCCAGCAGGCACCTCGACTCATCGTCATACGCCTGAACCTTCCTTCGCGGGGGACAAGCACAGTTCGTTGGTGCGAGGGTCGCGTGTGTTACACATGCATGCCTACATCAACCCCTATGTCCAACTACTCCCACTGTAATGGTATTAGTACGCCATGCTGTATTGGATCTGATCATATGTATCTTGTCGATGGTTACAAAAGTAAAAAGGAGGTTACCTGAATCTGGGACAATTGTGATCCTTGAGTCTGCCATATGTCCGTACGATAACCGCTGAACATACACCGAATGGAAGGTTTGTACACCCGCACCAGATCGTCGATGCTTCGTGCAACCCGCTTTGCAACTTCGTGGTATGAAGCATCGTGAAGGAGGCACTACGGGACTCCGTCCGAATCATCATGAATTCTTGAAAAACGGTGAACTGGAAGGGATGAGGATGAGGATGAACATAACAGGATGATGAGGATGATCCAACTAAGGCTCATTATTGTTTTATTGGGTAATCCATGAGGGTTCGCCTGCTTCAATGGCCCGATGACTGCGTCTGGCCTTTCTCTTCTCACTTCCATCGCCCAGCATCCACTGAGAGCATATGGAGACACGGGATGGACTCCCTAAGTGAAGAGAACGTGGACTGTGGACCGATGAATTTCGATCCGCAACAGCTTGTCCTTGTGGGGAAAGGGCAGTATGTTGCAATACAGTATTGAGATTTGCTTGCTCAGAACTGGGAAAACATATTCACCTTTTGGAGAGAAAGCGGATTCACCTTTGGAGAAAACAACACATCCCCCGAGAGTCTCCTTCTTGAAAGCCAAGACATGGGAAATCCATGGCCAGAAGTGGTTGGTTGTTTTAACTCACTTGAACAAATATGAGTCAGTGGGCTGGGTTCACTGATTTAATCCAAACATAACAAATACCCGGAATTACCACAGAGAAGTTGTTTCATGGATCCTTGGGGGCTTTAGGAGCCTTTTTTCTTCCTGGTGGCTTGACACTCTCTAAGTGCTTCAAAAGAGAAGCCCAAAGAAGGAACTTCCGGCTCTGCTTAGTCAAAGCCACTGCATATTTACCAAAAGTAACACATCATGTGATCGGCTAAGACAACTTTCCATGATCGGCTCAGAGTCAAAAGAAAATACCCAGACACTCCATGGGACTGCCATATATGCCGCCCCATTGAACCCCCCTGGCACCACCCCAACTGATCGGCAGTCCTATGGCAGTCCCATGGGTCGCGTCTGGGATAGGTGAACCTCACAGTGAACCTCCAAACGAAATCATTTTTCGCCGCCCTTAGGCCCCCTTTAACTACCGCTGCAGTCGAGACGGCCCTCTGAACACACTCGACGAACACTCGGCCCCTTTCGGAGCGGGTCTTACGAGACCGACTGGTGCGACAAAAGGACCCTCCGACGAACAGACCACATGGAGGTGGAACAACTCTCTTGGCAAAGGAAAACTAGTAGCAAGAACCTACTAGTTTGCAACCATCGCTATGAGGTTGGAAGCCATTACTACTAGTAACAAGAAGCTACTAGGATTTCCTTCTTCCTTTCGGCACCATGCCATCCACTTCAGATGTGCTCGTCAGAGTGTAGATAGAGAATGAGGGAAGTTTTGCCACAGACCTCCGGATCCATTCATTCCTCATACGGGTAGTTTTTTTCTTCCAGGTGGTGTTTGGGAGGTCTCCTAGTGTCTCCCTATTTTAAAACACACCCAATACTAAGAAGCAATCAGTTGTATGCTGCTCTCCTTGCGGGATGTTTGAACAAAGCGATGGCCGTTGGCCGTTTGCGAGGTCTGCTTGCTGTTTGCAAAGTGCTTGGCTGGTACCTCACCATGTTCTACAGCAATCCATCCAAGGTTCAGAAGCCAGGCATCTGTGCGACCGCTCCCAAAGCCAATCTGAACCAACTCTACACAATGCCGTCGCTGGGTGTCCTCTGCCACACACTGGACCATGTGTGCGCGCAGCCAACCTCTGTCAGGTTGTTTAAAGGCCTCGACCATCGCGAGACGTGTTGATTGTTGAACATGCCAGTTTAAAGCTGTCGTTCAAAAGGTCACTGTAATCATGGCAGTCATGTTCTGGATGATGTGCAACTGTGTTATCATGTTAGATCGTCCGTCCACCACAGAAAGATTCGGATAAAGAACACATGGCCAGTTCACCAGGGAGTTTCTCACCCGATATATAAACATACAGGATGGTAGCTCCATCATGCTCCTCCATAGGAGTGGAATATGTAACCCTTTTTGGTGGATTGAGAGTAAATGCCACAAATGTCCAAGTTTGGTGCAATTTTGCACCCCCATCTGTCTAAGACATCTTGGGGTGCCAATGCCATCGAACCTCTGAAACCACTGTACATTGGGTGGTTCACATGGGGCTCATATTGGATCTTCTTCCAAGACCTTCAAAAGAGTTCGGTTGACCTGTTGTTGTAGTACATTCCTTATTAATGGTTGTTTGGTACATCCTTTAAATATCTTGGAACCAATGGTTGTTGGAAGCCTCTAAGGCTTCCATCTATCGTTTGGGTCGCATGGCTTTCAGCTGGCTTTCGTGGTCGGCGCGCTTCCCAAACCACTCCTTGGGACCCTCATGAACATGACCCCCATGCCTGTATGCCCATCCGGGATCCGGGATCCGTACCGACCCGGTACGGGGTCTTAGATACCCTCAAATGACTGAAGGGGTCTTATATATAGTCTACTAGACTATACCCTATAAAGGATCCGTTTTCATACCGAACCGACCCGGCAGCTACGGGGTTTCGGAGACACTGAGACACTGAGACAGGAGAGACGGGAGAGGGTCCGAGCCCTATAGGTCTGAGCATGTATCCACTGATCCGGCTTCCTGACCCACCATATCATTTCATAGGCGGATCATCCCGAATCAACGATTTGGACACGACAACGTTCCCAGGATCGTTCCGATTTTTGTTCATGGTCTTTCCAGAAGTCGTTCGTTTTCGGGTCCCGGACTTAAGCACTCTGGTCCTTGGTCCGCACCTGGACGTCCAGTCCAGGGCTTCGATTCAAGTCGGACTACGTATGGTATTTTTCCCGGATGGGCTCCAGGAGGTTTCCTCCTCAGGTTCGGTATGACTGGACTCTCCTGGCACCCACCCCAGTCCCACCTTCGAAACGGTTCGGTACGACTGGAGCCCAAACGGGTTTTAGATCAACCACCCGCACTGATTGGCCGTCCTATGGCAGTCCAGTCTGACGTGGGACTGCCATGGGTACACGCGATGGGTTTTTCGTTGCGTGTACCTGGAGCAACCCCCTTTAAAAAAGGGACCATGACCTATATACAACAACAGCGTATTACTGGTACTCATGTTTAGAGGTACTGTGAGGCTCTCCAGGTGCATGTATTTTATAGGTTCTCAACCTTGTGGGGTCCAAGAATGGACGAAACACGGCAGGTTTGGGGCATGGGACATTCGGTGACTTGTTCAGTACTGGCGCGAGCGAGCGCGAGCGCGGCATTCATGACCATCGACGAAACCACAAGCTGCAGCACAAGTCCTTGTGGGCCACTGTATTCAGCAGCTGATGAAGGACACTGCGGCGAGAATACCTGGCTGTGCAAAGAAAAACCAATGCACTGCAAAGGATAGAAGTGGATCAGTTACTCGATGGTCTTAAAGAAATTATGGGGCCATTCTCCATCTGCGAGTTTCACGGAACTTTGAGCGCGAAAAAATCCAAGCTTAACATGCTTAACCATGGTACACTCTTTCATAGCTTGATTACCGAAGAATCCTCGGGGTCTGTAGATGTTGGACACTCCAAAAAAAAGGGGTCCGGACCCTCAAACGCCTTCGCAGATACAGTAGGGTAAAATAAGTTCCCTAGGCCTCCTCAGAAGGTATGACTGGACCCTCCTGGCACCCACCCCAGTCCCACCTTCGAAACGAAGGTACTTGGAGCCCTAGGGATTCCTACATTTCCCGGAGGGGTTCAGGTTCCTTTTCAGGCATTCCTCTGTCCATCTCGGAGTCCATCTGCGCGTGAAAGGTCGATGGTGATCCGGGCTGGGAACGCCCGGTGCCCGCTCTCATGATGACGCCGATGAAGGAAGCAAACCATGGCGATGACGCCGATGACGAACAGAACAGGAGATCCAGTGGCAACAGAGAGGATTCAACCAAGAGCTGGGGGGGGTACTGACATTCACTGACTATAGCTCTTGTTGAGCCACAAGCAATTTGAACATGATCGTATCTAAAGTCCTCGGCCGAGGACACGGACCAACGGACCGTCGACCACTCGACCCCTGAGGCTTGTTCTATGTCTCAGAGGCATCCAGAACATGCATTAGATATCTTTATGCTGCGTCTTTCTGCCGACATTCTGCCTAAAACAACTTAGATTCTGCCAACAAACATCTTGATGACCTCCATGAAATCCTGAACATCTGTCTAAAAACAAACAAAACAACTTGAAAGCATCCCTGTTGATGTTCAAAGGAGAACCTAGGTCCCTGCATTTCCTAGTGGAAATGTCATCGGGGAGTTGAATCCCCACACTAAGCCCAGTAAACCCATGACCCACCCAAACCTCGCAGCCCACCACATCCACCCCCACACATTCACCGCATCCACTCGTTGGAACGCTGCATCCTGCCGAACCCGTTCAACAAGGCCCAGGCAGCTGACCATCCCTCTGAACCCCCCCTTGTTTTCCAGTAGAGGTTGAAGAACCCTATAGACATCTATAGACTATGTGAGTATCCTATAGTTACCCCTGTATAGGGTCCTAGTTCAAGTCACTTAACCTCTGTTGGTTGGTCCGAACCCCCCCCCCCCGCGGCCTCTCCAACTTCATCTCTTCCGTGGTGTGATACCGCACCTCGCACGCGTCGCAGCCATCCAACAGCGCAGCGCTCCAAGTGCCGGCCGCCAGCAGGGCGTAGAACCCAAAGAACTCGTCCACGACCTCGATGCGCGAGGACTGCGCACCAGCGCGATGACGTGCGCGCGGACGGGGAAGTCAGGAGCTATTGGCTGAAGGGCAGGCGGGTTGTGTGGTGTGCTGTTTGGTGTCCCATCTCGACATCATGTACATTCGGGTGGAAGAGACCCACATGTGCCACCGGGCTTGGCATGGACCAGACTGGAAGACGACTATACATTCCTCTACAACCCGACGTGGCTTTCAGATTCCATGTGGGTCTCAGAACCAGACGCATACAGCCAGTCATCACCAGCACTGATGAGACCGAGGTATTTGCCAATTAAGAGCCAATCTTGTGTTGTGAGTTCACCATGGAATGAAGAGAGAGAGAGAGAGATGCACAAACACAAACATAAAGAGATGTTAAGTGACCTCACAGGACCCTACTGGGGTACCTATATGGGATAGTCGAACTAGGGTTCTTCAACCTCTGTTGGTCAAGCGTATTGCACCACAGATCATCTGTGCTCGAAAAACTGCCTACCCGAAACGACGCTGCGTTCGTCAAGTCTCCCAGCCAAACACTTGGCGTGAGATCCCCAAGGGGTGACTGTGATTCCCACACGCGACGTCCATGGGACTGGCGTATTGACCGATCAGTTGGGGTGGTTTTTCTCCTGGGATCAATGTCGTATATGTATAAGTAACTATACCAGTCCAAGACAGGTCGTGTCTGGGATTTGTCGTGAATCCGCCAAGATTTGTGTCCAAGACTTCCAGGCAAAAGCCATGCGGCGATTTCTCTGACCATAGGAGCTGATTCGGCGGAAACAAGAAAGAAACACTCTGCTGAATGTACATGATAATTAAAATATGATAGTGATACATAAATACAATTGTTTATAATACATACATAAGACATGTTACAGTATATCGATTAAGTAACAATTAATACAATATGCATGCTGAAATGAATATTCATTGTACCGTATATCTATACTTAATATATTATGCATATCTCATATATATATATATACTAAAAATAATAGTACATGCTACTATGATATTACTGGATTATACAGTACTTGAGTAGTATCATTTAACATCGATACACCCCTCCACCATGGAACTGCACTCGGCCCAGCCACGCGCACTCGGAACTGCAACAGACCCTGTTTGCTCAGAACGCCACCGCGGCCCGCCGCGGCGAGCCGCGCCGCGGCCCGCGACGCGCGCCGGGCGCAGGTGCTGTTGTCCAGGCGCAGGACGGCACGCCTCGCAAAGTCGGTGGGTTTTGGTGTGGAGAAGACTGAGATGAGGGTCCCATGAGGAGTATCAAAGATGTGAAACATGTTGGGTAAGATCTGACATGAACTGACCCAAACACATGCCAAGGGGTAGTGGAAGTAACTGGCGCAGGGTATGCCATTAACATTCGTATCGAGGTGTTTAGGTGCATCTGAATCCTAACCCAACACCCTGAAATCCTTCTTTGGACATGCGATAAATGCACTCTTCTCCCTGGTTTAAAAGGTCGCTTCACTTCTGGAATACCTCTATGGTAAAAAGGTACCTTGTGGCGCTCCTTGTTCTGATGATAAGAAGCTGGGTCTCTGAAAGAGTTGCCATTGCCAAACGATAGCATTATTTGGCCGAGCAAGTGCTGACCAACATATCTTTCTTCAATTGGGTCTGACCAACCGCAAAATTGGACAGTCATCAAACATGGGCGCGATATAAGGCGATATACCGTACCGATATGTAATGGTATTATCAGCCTAGTGAAACCATACAAGTAACCTGCAGCTTTAAGCCGCGTGTTCACGGAAGTTCCTGCAACCTGGCCAACGACCGGCGCAGCCGCCTGATGGCCCAGCGATAGCCAGCATAGAGCCGCTTGAAGTGCTGCTCCACCTTGAGCTGCTTCAAAGGGACGTCGCCCCAGAAGTAGCCTCAGCCGCGCAGAAATCGACCCTCCAGATTGAGATGGAGACAACATGAGACAAACAATAGTGGCCGGAGAGTACATGGCACAAATGTCCAAGTTTGGTGGTTTAGATGGAGACCCATCTAAAGGACATGTAGGGGTGCCAGTGCCATTACTCTGACCACGGGGAGGCAGAATCCATCATAACACAACAAAACCAAGACTCTCCTAACGCATCTGACGTCTGACCTTTCTTTCGGCCTTGGGGCGCTGGGACTGGGGGAAGTTCCGCTCGGCGTGAGGCCAGGCCAAGGAGTAGAACGTCTCCCAGTGCCCTGGGCGGGCGCAGAAAGTGGGAGGGCCCCAGGCGGTTTTGGCCTTTGTACCTATAAAGGACATTTTGTAGGGACCCATGTAGGGACTCAAATCCAATTCAAAAAAATGAACGCAGCGCGGAGAGAAATCAACGAACTGGGCGTTTGTATTTTTAGGTTTGCACATGCGTGCTATATGTGCTATCTGGGCATCGTCTATATAGTGATATCTGCGGTGATCTAAAAACTGTTTATATTGGATGCCTGTGAAGTGCGACCACTCTACTCCAGCTCTCCACAGGCATGGTGCAACAAACCAAGTGCGACATGGCTATGGCTAGTAGCTTCTGGCGCCGGCGGAATAGACTCCCAACTGCGGAACCGAAGTCAGGAACGTACCGAAGACGTACCGAATACGAATGACGTCTCCAGGCGAAAACAACAAGGGACGACCTCTTTCATGGCATTGCCTTCGAATTTTCCTGATCCCATCACGTGGATTTGGTCTCTGAAGGGGGGCCAGTTCCTCGTCCAGTCTGCCCCTGACGTAGTTTCTTGGTTCGCGCTGATTCATGATTTCTGCACGGTTCTTCCTGCTGAGCCATGACTTGTCTAACTCGGCCTATCTATGGCCCCATGGGGCGACTGTGTAATGGGACGTGCGCCTCGAGTCTGGCAAACCCATCGGTTTGAGGCCGTGATCCGTGATGAGTTGCTTCCCAATGATTGATGTTTCCAGCCACCCGTGACATAACTGGTTTCACGTGATGTTCAACTCGTTTTCACGTGCTTCTTTAATCGCTTTCTACAAATGGAGAGAGCATGAGAAAGCATGAGAAGAGGTCTTGGGAACAACAGCTGGTCCTCCAATCAGACCCAAGGCCCTGCAGCTGCTCCCCGCGCCTGTCAGTAGCCCTTGCATATTTGCATACAAGCCTCGGGATGTCCAATCTTGCCCTTGCAGTCACGTTCCAACACGTTCCAACACACACACACACCACGTGCAGCATCAGGTTTATGTGTTCCGAGTCCTGCTTGGCTGCAGAGCCCTCTCATGCTTCACGCAGTTACGCCAGCACAGAGATGCTTGTTTGTCGAAAACGCACCTTGCAAAACCATCTCTTCATATTTAGTGGGGAAACCAATCCCCAAAAAAGGTTATTCACTGACGACTGGGTAGGCGCCTCACCTATAATGATTGGAAAGCACACCCAAAATGCTTGGCTGGCATCAAATCCTATGTCCACCACCAATCGCTCGTCCCACCACCAATCGTGGTCGCCACTTGACTAGCCAAATACCTCCGGGATGTTCTCCAGTTTTCCCCGCAACCCTCTGAAGGAAGTCACGGATGATGGCAGTGAAGACTTCCTCCAACATGAGACGCTGTGGAGAGCCCCTCGGCCAGGCGTTCCACACCTCCTCAAAACACGTGCGGAGCGGCGGTCCAGGGCGAGCTCCAACGCAGCTCGCGGGTTTGTTCAGGCACCCCATTGGCCCATGTCCATTGATGTAATGGAGGAGTGCTCTAAAGTATGAGACATATACCACTACATATACCATACACCTAGATCTTCCAACAAGTTCTTCCTTATAAAACAATAGAAACTACAAGTCTCACAATCCTGCTCTTTGGGACATGCACATTCAACATATCGAAACGAAACAGGTCCGACAGCCATGATGCCCTTTGAGGCTTCAAGATCGACGAACCGACGCCAGATGTGATGCACGGTGACGCACGGTGACGCCAACATCGACCAGCGCCAGATCGATCGACCAAGAAACACAAAAGCAATACCCTCCCACAAACTAGCATGGAACGCCCGGTGGAGAACAATTTTCCTCTACAACCCAGTGGTTTTGGGGTTCCATGTTAATCTGCAGGGGAGTAAAACAAAAACAAGATGCAGTGTGTACTATTTTATTTGGGAGACACCCGATCGCCCAAATGGGTAGACTCGTCTAGGTGCCTTCTTCAAGGGGATCTATGTGGGGTCTCCCCATTCCAATGCACAATGCACACCCATTCTAACAAATCGATCAAACTAGAGTCCAGTATGTCCTAGTTCTTGGTGAGAGTGCTGTACTTTGCCCCCACAAACTCACCCAAATCAGATCAACGTACAGTAAATCAAAGGTGTTTCATGGTGAATGTCTCCAAGCGAATGTGGCAAATTTCCTGTAAGTTGTCCTTCTCACTCCAGTTTCCATCTAAAAGCAGGATTCACTGCCAAAAGGAAAACCGCCTACGTTCATAGTACGTGGTTCCCAAGAATCCAACTTAGTTCTGCTTGCAAAAACCCTATAGGACTCCAGTTTAGTTTTGTGAACGTTCAAAGCACAGTCAAAGCATGAGTAGACCAGTAACGATCGCCTTGGATTGTGGACCGGGCTCATGACCTGCTGGAGGGAATGCAACAAATCGCTGGGATTCTCGATGCCCAAAAAATCTGGGCCCCAAGCCTCAAGGATTCTCACCACAACTCAACACGTTCTCTCATGCCTACTCTCCTTGCGGCTCTGAATTCATTCATCTCTACATGGATGGTGGAATGGATTGAGCAAATTCAAACACCGGAGGTGGTTTTGGGGTTTCCAGCCAAACTGTCCGGCCATACCGTCCGCCTCTTCTGGGGGCCACAGGGGATCTTCTGCGAAGAAGCTTTCCTGAGGCGTGAGGAGGCGTGGATCTTCCTGCGCCACTCTTGGTATTTTCTCGGACAAATTTTTGGTCGTTTTTGTGTGGAATTAGATGGTGGAAAGGCGTGGCGGGACAGATTGCCGGCAGCCTTGGGAGTGAGCCTCTGGAGCTCCATCCTGCCGTCAGAAAGCACGGCTTCCGGAAGCGGACTATAAGAGAAAGCACGGCTTCTGGAAGAGGACTATAGAAGAGGATTTTTTGTTTTTTGTGCGCAGGCCTCGTCTTTTTCTTCAGCGCTTTCAGGCTGCTCGTCGTCGATCTGTTGGTCAGCCTGCAAATTCTTGGTGGAAAAGTTTATTGTGGCAACGACTGGCACTCCAAAGAGATCACGGTGGTAGGCACAAGTGCCTCCAGCCGTTGACCCAAACTCCACCAAGCAGTCATATTTGCCCTGCAGCTTTTCCTGGTGGTTCACCAGGAATTGAAGGTCCCTGACATCATCTAAGACCAAGCCATCATGATGCCCCCGCTTGAATTGCCGCATGGTCTCAGGAAAGAACTCTAAGGTTCCGATGTTCAACTCCAAAGGCTGTTGGAAAAGACTCTTTGCCCATTCAGTCTTTCCCGAGCGAAAGAGTTCAAATCAAAAAGAAAAGGCCCGCAACTTTTTGGATGTGGATCCATGCAGTAGTCAACTACAACACACCTGAAAGATCCAGCCTCATCTTCAACAGGTGGATCAGTGAGGTCATCGTCCTGCCAAGAGCCCAGAAGGGCACCACAAAATAAGCGGTCCTCGTCAGGGATCTCTGTAGGTTCAAGGTCCTAACCATTCCACATCACGAATCTCTCCAATCAGGTCGTTCAGAAAAAGAAACGCTCCTCCTTCACTGGAGAAGCAATCATCTCGGGGCTTGTGTACCTTCGGTCCTGAAAAACCATAGGTGGGTCAGAAGTTTCCCTAAGACATCAAACACGCTGATCCTCCGTCGGCGTGGTGTCAATCATTGGTGAAGACACCTGGCAAGCATATGCTGGCTAGGGGTTCCAAATCTTCCATGTACAGATTGCCTCAAGTTCACCATCTTCCACAGATGGATCTGGATCAGCTTCATCTTGAACATGAGGCTCGATCTGTGTGGCCGGGCTGAGATTGATCGATGTGCAGTTGCTCATGGCCGTGCACGAGCCTTCCTCCGCTTGGGACGCGGATCTTCATCCATGGCAAGGGAGGCCTGGCAGGAATTAATCGGAGCAGCCCATGTCCGAAGACCAACCATCCTTCAATTCACGCCTCTGATGCACCCGTGCACAACGTGCTCCTGCTCGAGCCTTCCTGAGACCACGGTAGCTAAAGACTATCAAGAAGCTACTAGGGGCTCCTGGCATCGCTACTAGGAGCAAGGACGCTACTAGGGGCTCCTGGAATCGCCTCCTGGCATCGCTACTAGGAGTGGAGTTAGATGGTGGAAAGCTGTGTGGCGACACAGATTGCCGGGAGCCTTGGGAGTGAGCCTCTGGCACGTGCCAGGCAACTGTTTTATGGGCTCCCGAAGGCGACATGCCAGGAAGTCTTCGGGGTTAGGTTTGCTCCAAGCATTCTTGCCCGTGCGGCGCAAGCCTTCACTAGCTCTTTTCATTAGGTTTCGACACTGCCCTTATACGCACCCTGTCAGGACAATATTTTGGTGCTCTTTTGCTGTGGGAACAAGGCACCTACCGGGGCGTTCTCGGCGACGTCACGCATTCTCGCTCGTCGCAGCTCGCTTCTACGTTAGTCGAGTTCTTGCTCCTCGTTTCTACGTTAGGCTTTCACTGCAGGTCCTTCCTACAAAAAGGGGTTGGCGGCACCAGGGCAAAGCCCTTACCAGGGCGAAGCCCTTACAAATCCGGGCGCCGGCCACGCGCCCGTGGCATGCCCGGAGGGCCTTCGGTGGTAACCGAAGGTTATATACGGGCGCCCCTGCCGCCGGACCTCCGGGTCGCTGAAGCCACTGTAATTTACGGTGTTTCGTGTGTGTATGTGAGGTATAAAAAACACTGTGTTTTACAGGGTTTATTGCGTATATCGAAGTGCGACGCGGCGTAGAGGGAGAAATGCCAAAATGCTGGTGTTTTTTCAAGGGTGGTGTCGGTTATGCGCACGACATTTCGTGGGTGTTGGGTACGCGCCAACAGCAAAGGCGGAACATGCGCTCCAAGATGATCTGACAGAGGCCCTCAAGAGGACCCAACATAGGTCCCAGATATGGCACACATAGCCGCAAAATGACCCTACCTAGGATGGGCAACATAGCCCCTGGATGGGCCCAGATTGCCTCAAGATGTGGCAACATAGGCCCCACACAGTTTCAAAGAGAGAGAGAGAGAGACAGAGACAGAGACAGAGACAGACAGAGAGAGGAGAGGGAGAGAGAGAGAGAGAGACAGGACCAGCCCTACACAGACCCAAGTGGGCCCGCGCCCGGCTGTTAGGCGTAAGCCTTTAAATCCGGGCGCCGGCCAGGAAGCCCGTGGCATGCCCGGAGGGCCTTCGGTGGTAACCGAAGGTTATTTAAGGGCTTACGCCCGACAGCCGGCCAGGGGCCCAAGCAAAGGGGAGGGGGCAGGGAAAAAGGGGAGGGGGCAGGGAAAAAGGGCACGGGGGCGTTGTTGCTGTTGTCGTTGTTGTTGGTGGTGTTGTTGTTGGTGGTGTTGTTGTTGGTGGTGTTGTGGTTGTGGTTGTGGTTGTGGTTGTGCTTGTGGTTGTGCTTGTGCTTGTGCTTGTGCTTGTGCTTGTTGTTGTGCTTGTGCTTGTGCTTGTGCTTGTGCTTGTGCTTGTGCTTGTGGTTGTTGTTGTTGTTGTTGTTGCTGTTGTCGTTGTTGTTGTTGTTGTGGTGGTTGTGGTTGTGGTTGTGGTTGTTGTGGTTCTTGTGGTTGTTGTGGTTGTTGTGGTTGTTGTGGTTGTTGTGCTTGTGCTTGTGCTTGTGCTTGTGCTTGTGCTTGTGCTTGTTGTTGTTGCTGTTGTTGTTGTTGTTGTTGTGCTTGTTGTTGTGCTTGTTGTTGTGCTGCTTGTTGTTGTGCTGCTTGTTGTGCTTGTTGTTGTGCTTGTTGTTCTGCTTGTTGTTGTGCTTGTTGTTGTGCTTGTTGTTGTGCTTGTTGTT